TATTATATTGTTTATCTAAATTTTTAGATGTAAATCAAAGTGTTTCTGAAGCTCTTTTATGGTTAGAAAGAAGAGTAGAAATTTGCCCACGTGTTCCACAAGAATGGAATCTTACAAGAGAAGTTCGAATTAGTGAGTTACGAAGCACGATAGATACAAATAAGAATTATCTTTTCGAATATTTCAATTATAAGTACCCTTTCTTAAGGCAACCCCAAGGCTATGATTTGGTAAGATTTTTTTTTTAATTTTTGAAACTTTTGTATCAAATAATCTTGTAACTTACTTATATTTTAATCATTTTTAGATAGTGCAAGATTTTGACAATTTGTATCCAAACTCCAAACACTCCTTATTTATCGAATGGACCAATTTCTGTTCAAAAGTGAAACGTTTAGTTGGGATTGATGAAAATGAGGGTGTGTAAAATTCAATTGTCTTTTTAGACTTTCCAGTAAAAGTGAAAAGATTATACCTTATGAAAAAATTAATAATATTTAAATAATAAGCTTAAAAGTTAAAAATTACTTTCAACTTTCAGAAGTACCAGATTCTCAAATTTTCTTTTTGATTGGGAAGCTGTTCGAAATCGAAGGTGTTTCATCCGTCGCAGTTACAAAAAAATATAGAGCAACAAAAGCTGAGATGTTACAGAGCTTTTTATTTCATGCAAATGTAGGTTAAAAATGTTAATACATATCTATATTTCGAGCTAAGATACATCACTTATATTCTCAGAAGAATTTTACTAATTTTTATTTTTTACATTATTTAGACGATTGATGATCTACATCCTGGGATTGATGAACTATCAAAAAAAGCTGAGACGGAACAAACCACAATTCAACCATTTGCAGCTATAGTTGGAACAGACTTAAAGAATGTTGATTCTTATTGTATAATTGCTGGGATTCAATATAGAGTTGCTTCCGTTCGAGATGCAATAGATGTAACTTTTAAAAGTTTCCAAGCTCTTCACGCATCATATCCAAGGTCATCGGAATGTTTTTGGTTACTGATCCAAAAAGCAATATATAAAATAAGTACACCATGGGATCAGTATATTCAAACAAGTGCAGTAGATAGTTTACTAGATAAGTTAAATGTTTAGTTTATAACTTTAATAATTTAATATAGAATACTATTGACTTTATTTAAAGAAAACTTGTAATAAGTTTCTTCCATCTACTAGATGCAATTCTTTAAATAAAGAATTAACTATGCCTACTTGCAGTCAATGTTCTCTTTTTGTGCCATCAGTTAATGGTCTTCAAACACATGTAGAGCTTCAACATCCCCATGAAATTATCTTCCAATGTAAAGAAAAAAATTGCTTCCGACGCATACCTGGATGGAGATCATTCAGAAGGCATTTATTAAAAGTGCACCAATGCCCACTTAAATCCCTCTTCACTTGTAAAAAAAAATGCTTGAAAGTAAAAACAATTTTTGATTCTGCACAAAAAACATATGGTGAAATTCAAAATGATTCTGTAAATGAACAAATATTGACATCTGAACCTTTCATTACAAGAGATAATGAATTTTCCGAATTAAAAGAAGAACTACTTTCAGAAGCCGTCACATTGGTTAGTAAATTGTATGCCGATCCTACACTTCCTCGTAATCACGTTCAATTTATAGTAACTAATGTTCGTGAATTATTAGAGAATATTTCTTCTTTTCTCAAACCCCACTTAACTCATTTATTGCAATCTAAATATCAAAATATTACTTCCACTGTTGATGAACTATTCAATCATGTGGTACAACCATTTAGTGAAACTTTATCAACAGAGTATCGTAGATTGAAAATTTTAAAAAATTCTCCTAAGTACGTTGATGCACAGACTTATGTTGTTGGCGATAGACTTGATGATTTGTATAAAGATGGTAGAATGGTTCAAGAACGTGTTTCTGTAACAGCAAAGTTTGTTCCCATCACAAAGACGTTAACGAATTTTTTACAATTACCAGGTGTTTTGGATGAAATAAAATCCTACATTAATGAATTGGAAATGGAAGAACAAACTGGAATTATATCCAATTTTATTCAAGGTAGCCTTTGGAAAGAAAAGAAAAAAAATTTTGAAGGTAAATTCGTTATTCCGATTTTCTTATACTATGACGATATTGAAGTCAACAATCCTTTAGGTTCTCATGCGAGTGTTCAGAAGTTAGGAGCTGTTTACTTTTCTTTGCCAGTTTTGCCTCCACAGTATAGGTCTAGACTAGAGAACATATTTCTCACTTTACTTTTCCATGCTTCTGATAGAACAACTAACAAATCAGGAAACTACAACATTTTCCATAAATTAACTGAGGAATTAAATGTTTTACAAAATGAAGGATTTTCGGTCATTGTGAATGGTAAAGTTGAAAAAATTTATGTTGCTTTAGGTTTATTTCTTGCTGATAACTTAGGTTTCAATAGTGCTTTAGGTTTTGCGGGAAGTTTTAGAGCAAACTACTATTGTCGATTTTGCAAAATACATAAAAATGTTGCAAAATCTACGTTCATTGAAGATAAAACTCTCCTGAGAAATCTTGTTGAGTATGAAGCAGATATTAATGAAGGTGTTACTTTATCAGGCTTAAAAGAGAATTCTGTATGGAATGAAATAAAGTTTTTCCATGTTTTATTGAATTTTGCTGTAGATTTGTTTCACGATCTATTTGAAGGTATATGCAAGTCTGATATGGCTCTTATTTTATATCATTATATAATACAAACCAAGAAGTTTACCCTAAAAGCTTTAAGCGATAAAATGAAGTCTTTCAATTACACATTGAATGGAATTAAAAATAAACCTCCTCTCTTCGTTGTCGATGACATAAAACGTTATCATTTGTCAATGTCTGCTTCAGAAATGAAAAACTTTGTATTACTTTTTGGAATGTTTGTTGGTGATTTGTGTGTTATCAACAAAGACTCTGACCCAGCATGGGAAATGTATATTAACTTGAGAGAAATTATTGAAATTGCTTGTGCTAAATCTGTAAGCAGAACAGATTTAGAACGATTTCCTAGTATTGTTGAAAACCATCATAGAATTAAAGTGCAATTTTTTGGTTACTCATTGGACCCAAAAGATCATTTCCTTTTACACTATGCAAGAATTTTAAAAAAATCAGGACCTATTTCTCATTTAAGTACAGGATGTTTCGAAAGTAGACACACTTTATTAAAACAAGCTGCTAAAGCTACTACTTCACGCTTGCATATTACTCATACCCTATCTGTAAAGGAACAATTGCGTTTTTCTCATCGTATAAGATGTAATCAGGGCCTACATAGTAATTCTGATGTAGGTCCAACCTGCGATCAATATAGTTCGATTTCTCAAGTAGATAATTATTATTTGTTTAGAACTTCGTTACCAATAGAACATTCCAGAGATGGAATTGCTGTCGCATGGTTAACATACAATGGCATACAATATAAGCTACAATCTTGTATAACAACTGATCTTAATAGTCTAAATTATCCAGTATTTGGTGTAATTGAATTAATACTCTTAAACGACAAGTCTGATATATGTTTTATATGTAAAATGTTTACAACAGAAGACTTCGACGAAAACCTACAAGCATATTCTGTTAAATTAACTTCAAAAATGCAATGCGTTAAATTGAATGAATTACTTAGCCCATTTACGGTCATTCGACACAAAATGAAATCTGGACAAGAATTTATCACAACGAAATATATGATTTAAAATTATTTTTTTAAAAAGGAATTTTTAATGTATTAATTTGTTTGTTATATAACTAATGAAATTTTATCCCATGAATGTTGTATACAATAAATAATATTATTTTAAAAAAATCAATTTCTCTTATTTAATACCATAATAACTACAGAACCAGTAAAACTAAACAAAGCAGTGTGTATTACTACACTAATTAGTGAGACAAAATAATTAGCTTAGTTTGTTTTACTACGTTATTTAGTAAAATTAACTAATGAGATTAGTTTTTTTTACTAAGCTAATTAGTTAAACTAACTATAAAACGTAGTATGTTCTACTACACTATTTAGTAAAATTAACTAAAGAGCTTAGTTCGTTTCATTGCGATAATTAGTTAAACTAACTAAAAACAGTAGTATGTTCAACTACGCTATTTAGTAAAATTAACTATTGAGCTTAGTGTGTTTTACTACGCTATTTAGTAAAATTAACTAATAAGCTTAGTTTGTTTTACTAAGTTAATTAGTTAAACTAACTATAGAGCGTAGTACGTCTTACTATACTACTTAGTTAACTTAACTATTTAGCTTAGTCAATTTCACTACGCTTATTACTTAAACTAACTGAAGAGAGTAGTATGTTTTACTACGCTAATTAGTTAAACTAACTAAAAAGAGTAGTACGGTTTACTACGCCACTTAGTATAAGTAACTAAACAGAGTAGTGCGTCTGACTATAACATTATGACTAGAGCGTTTAGTAAGTGTAACTACGGTGACTAGTGCGCCCATATTTCACTACGCCGAATAGTAAGTCTAACTAGATATTCAGTTAGCCTAACTATTCCTTTTTCTCAGTGTATAAGTGAAAAATATTTTAGAAGTTACGTAAATCAAATTATATTTTTCTCGAAACTCATAAAAGTAGACTTAAATAAGTTCTAAAAGTAACCTCAAACTTACATTTGATCCGGAGTATACGAGATACGTACATTCTACACTGTATATAAAAGTTAGTTAACTTCCAAAACATTTTTCACTTATACGTACGTTCGGCTTGGGGTGAACGATATATGCATTCTAGATAAAAATGAGCATATATAACCCATTTTTTAAAAATGGAAAATAGTCACGAATGGAAAGCTTTCTTGGGAGGAGAGGAAGCAAAAATGGGTGTGTTCTTCGAGGGATAAGTAGAAATACAAAAAATTGGTTTTAAAAATCGTTTTATACACTGCTAGCTACTATAGCTAATGAAACTTCAGATTCTACAAAGAATATGGCTTAAAATAAATAAGTGATCGCTCACCTGATCGGGTCGGAGGCCCGGAGGTATCCAGGTATATTCCTCAAGAGCACAACCGCTGTCATCATCACTCTGAGAGTGCCGTTGATGATGATGATGATGATGCTGAACAAGAGGATCTTGCAAAGGAGGGGCGTCTGTGGGATGTTGAACAGAACTTTCAAATTGTTCCTGTTGAGAGTCTGTGATGGCCACAGTCCCACTGCTCTGAAATGTCATTGCCATCGCAATACAACCTGGGACCAATTCTAAACTCGGGGTTACTCCAAATTCTGCTGACGCTAACTGATGACGATCTTCTCTTGGACATCTGCAGCTCTTGCAAACTTTTCTGTAAAGACCAATTTGCATTACTTAAAAATATTGATTTAAACTCTTAGTCGTTTTTAAGAATTGTTATTGTAATATGTATTAAAAATCTATTGCACATTATAGTTAAAAAAAAGTTATTTACTAATAATTTTAAGGACGTCACACCGTTTTAATATGCAATGATTAAAAATAATATACAAACTTCTGATAAGATTAAATAAATCCAATTCTTAATAGTTACATTGGTTCTTCGCTACTTTCAAAGTGTTTTATATATTGGTTAAAAACAAATTTTTTGCACATAATTGACTACAATAATTGAGAATAAATTATAAAAGATAAAATTTTATGTGCGTATAAACAGGATAAGGATAACACAATATGTGATGCAATAAAGTCGATTCTTTTTCTTCTCTCGTCGTGAGCAACCTGGCGACACTTACATAGTAGAATATTTACACATGAAGTTAGCTAACTTCAATGTAAAAAATCAATATATATCGTCACTATTAACCAATCTCATTCAAAGAATTTAAAATTTCCAAATAAGGAAAGGTATCTGCACTTGAAGTTAGTCGTTTACGTATGTCGTTTTCAGTATAGGACACACATCTACACTCCTGAGCACATTCCAACGATCAATGTCTTTGAGTTATAAACAATGCAGCAGGCCTAACTGGAATTGAAAAGTACGAGTACGTACTTGATGAAAATGAACTTTCGATCCAAATGGAATTACTAGGTTATTTTTACGGTGAAAGAACTAATACATCTTTTATTAACATTTCTCAATTTTATTTACCGATTATAATTCTTTCATCTTGTTAAGAGTAGCGATCTTGTAACTAGATTCTTTGGCCTATAGTTTTTATTTACTCAAATAATTATTCCAAGTTATAATTTTTAAGGAAAATAGATGCATTTGATTTAATCGATTGTAGTTTGTAAAAAATGTTGAAAAAGTTTATAATTTTAGGAGCGAAAATCTTTATAAAGTTATGCCCAAAAAATACTTAGTAGTCTAAGAGGTTCGGTTGTGGGCACCCCTGCGTAATTTTTCACAATAAATGAATGAATCAAATCTGACAAATGTTAAGTGTGTGCTATGTCCGTACGTAGTTTTTCATGCAAATAGCAGAAGAAACGGACACCCGTACTTTGTACTGTAAAAAAAATTAGTTTTTTCATACGAGTAGATTACACGGAGAGAAATAGATGGTACGGGGTACTATCTAGATAGTACCAGATACCATATTTGATCTTACATATACGGACAGCAATCTAGATTCTATCAGTAACAATACAGATTGTACGGAGTAACGTCTTGATTGTAGTGGGTAACATAACCATACTTTTTGTAACATCTTTGATAGTACCGAATAGCATAATGATAGAACCGGATAACATCTATACTTTTTACCATCTTAAGATCATAAGTTCTTACCATCTATTTATCTCCGTGTAACAAAAGATTTTTAATCATTTTCCAAAGTGCCATAAGTTGATGTAAATTAACTCGAGATGGTAAGTGCAATGCATATTTAAACAGTAAATTTATTATTTTTTGTGATTCAGTTGTCATCACCACCACAATGTTCACAATACAAATTTTTTTTCATGACATTTTAATATGACTGACAAATTCGGTTGTGGTCACCCCTCTTTTTTTACAAATCGTGAAATATCGTCGTTGATGTCAACATTATTAATTTTGCATTACTATTAATAGTGTTTTTATGAATTTTTTCGTTATGTCGACTCAGAAGAAATCAAAATACTATAGTCAAACCACGGGCTAAATGTGCCGAGGCAACTTCAGCCAAAACATCGGCTAAATGCACTAAGGTAAGGGAATTTTTTCCTTCTGATGAGAACGTGGACTTTTGCATTCTTTGTTCCCTATTGAAAATTCCTACAAAGTTTCCCACGTGTGATTCTTTAAAACTAATCTATAAGGACTCCTCATAAGATCCTTTGTAAGATCTTACGTCGGATGCGTTTAGGAAAGCTTTCAGACAACATACGACATTACTGTTCGAATTTGGTTCAGGCAATGTTACAAGAAACTATATAGTTTTCCATATAGTTTCCTACGTAGGATCCTATAAAGGATGTCACAGAAAATGAAAATTAAAAAGAATTTTTTTTTATTTATGTCATTGTTGCCTTGCTGCCCAGCAAACACGTTCTATAAATGTTACATAACAGTGAGGACACAGTTAAATAAAACATTTGTTACAAGCTGGATATGAATCTGTTATATAACCTCATTGTATCAGAATTCTAGAACATTGTTACAAGGGAGTTACCGATCTGTTCTACATTATGCTAACTTCACAGTTCTGTCACAATGTAATGTAACATTTCTGTAACACAATCATCACAAATGATTTGTAACTGACGTTCCAACGTAGTTTTAGAACTGTGTCTGAAAAATGTTATGTAGCTGTTCTAAAATTTTGTTGCAGATTAGTTCTGGATGACATTTGTACCTAAAAATGGGAACAATTCTGCAACAGTGTTACATAACATTTCTATAACACTACAACCACAATTTTTTTGTAACTAATGTTCCATCGCATATTTAGAACTATATCGGAACCTAAGATTAAAAATTTTGAAGTGTTCATTTTATTTAAGTATGTAGTTAAATTTAAAAACCTCTAAAATTTTTATATATTACATAGTCTTATTGTTTTTTCTTTATATAAGCAATACAGTTTTTAAATTTTCCTCAGTCGCAAGCTATCAAATCAATTTTGTTTTTATATTCCCATGTTACAGTAGCGTAATGGTTTTTTTATTGCTATATATAGCAATATCGCTCTACAGGCTAGTACGCTAACCATTACGCTATACCCTAAAATTGATTTGATAACTTGCGACTGAGGAGGATTTAAAAACTGTATTGCTTATACGAAGATAAAACAATAAAACTATGTGATATATAAAAAGTTTAGAGTTTTATAAATTTAACTACATACTTAAGTAAAATGAACTATTTATTTATTAATTCCATAGAAAATAGTTAAGGTACTTATGAACACTTCAAAATTCTTAATCTCAGGTACAAATACATTCCAGAACTGAACTTCATCAGAATTTTAGAACAGTTACATATCATTTTTCCGATATAGTTCTAGATATGCGATGGAACATTAGTTACAAAAAATTTGTGGCTGTAGTGTCATAGAAATGTTATGTAATACTATTGCAGAATTGTTCCAATTTGGAGGTACAAATATCATCCAGAACTAATCTGCAACAAAATTTTAGAACAGCTACATAACATTTTTTGGACACAGTTCTAGAACTATGTTGGAACGTTACTTACAGATCATTTGTGATGATTGTGTTACAGAAATGTTACATTACATTGTTACAGAATTGTGAAGTTAGAATAATATAGAACAGATCGGTAGCTCCCTTGTAACAATGTTCTAGAATTCTGTTACAATGAGGTTATATAACAGATTCATAACCAGCTTGTAACAAATGTTCTATAAAACTGTATCCTCACTGTTATATAACATTTATAGAACGTATTTGCTGGCTATGTTCTTTTTTCAAATATACGCTTTACTAAGTAAATGGTTTTCTTGAAACAGTAGCCTAATTGATTTGACCGTATTCAGTCTTACGATTTTCTTGAATCAAGTAAAATTTTCTGGGTTCAATACTATTTTTTTCAGTGTACATATTGCCCGATAAGTTTAAAATTTGGAAGTTGTATAATTTAATTTGATATCGCCCATGATGTATGTGAACATTTTAAAAGATACTTTATCACAGCGAAAAGGGGTAAATTAAGTTTTTATTTCTTGTTAACAGACTTTTACAACATTATTCATATGGACCATTGAAATACGTCCATTTATAAATTTTTATAAATTTATTACACGAAAAAAAATAGTTTTTAAAAATCGAAAAAAATTCAATATCTTGATTTAGTCCAATATTAAGCTAATCGTGAACCTTGTCAATTTCTCACTAAAAAGCTACTGTACTATCGCTAATGTATTTTTTTTTACTTTGGGTGTCAGTTTTTAACTGAAGTCAAAAATGTCGAAATAATATAAAACTGAAATGTGTAATTGAAAGATTAAATGAAAAATCTATATATGTAGCTATATCGAATATAGAAAAGATTAAAGAATAAATCAATGAAGAATATAAAATCACCATCACGATATATACCTTGGTCGCCCTAGTTGGGCCGACTATGGGATCGTCGGTTGACATGACTTGTGATTTAGCAATCACAGTTGGGATATACTTTAAACAAAATGGTGATTAATAAAACTGTGGCAGTCAAAATATTAAGAAACTCACTTCTTAATGGTCGGCTCAAGTCGGGCCGACCGTCGGCTAAATTTCTTTGAAGATGCAACTTATGAGACTAATTTTTCCTTAAACTCTTATGTAAGCGTAGGGTAATGGATAGCGTTTTAGATTTCGGTGCGTTAGATTGCGGGTTCGATCCTTGCGAGCAAAAAATATTTTTAAAATGTATGTATGTATAAGATTGCGTTTAGTGTTTAAATACCTTCTGATTGGCTAAGACGTGCTAGCGAAAATCAGTCCCACTACCTTACTACTACATCGTTCCTACGTCTCACGGATACAACAAGTATACTAGTAGTAGTGGTGGTGGGAATGGTTTCCGTAGTCCGTGATGGAACGCGATTGATATGGTCATGTTTAAAGCTTTATTACAAAAAAAGTAATTAGAAAAATATTATTTTGGACATTTCTATATAATAGAGCAACTCAAATACTATCGATTCGCATATAAAACTGGGAATTAATTTTTTGTCGTAATAGGTCCTATTTCTCGTGGAGCGTCACATATGTTATTCGTATAACAAATTTTTATATTTTATTTTTTATTGGTCGGCAAAAATTTTAATGCCAAGGTCGGACAACCTTTGGCAGCCATAGTTGGACTAACTCAGTCGACCATAGGTCGGTTGACGTTATCAATTCGCTAGTTGGCCCGACCTTTGGTTGCCATAGGTG